AGCGCAGCCTGGAGAGGATTGTCAGGAAAGGGCCATTCAAATGTGTTGGGGACTTTCACAAGGAGCGGTCTGAGGCTTGAGTCAGTGCATCAAGAGCCACCACTCACAGACGGATCCTGGACATGGGCTTCAGATGTTGTATTCCTCTTGTCAAGCCGCTCAACAACAACAAACAACGTCAGAAGCGTCTTACCTGGGCTAAAGAAAAACAGACCTAGTCTGTTGCTCAGTGGTCCAAAGTCCTCTTTTCTGATGAGAGCAACTTTTGCATCTCATTTGTAAACCGAGGATCCAGAGTCTGGAGGAAGAATGGAGAGGCACATACTGCAAGATGCTTGAAGTTCAGTGTGAAGTTTCCACAGTCTGTGTTGATTTGGGGAGCCATGTCATCTGCTGGTGTTGGTCCACTGTGCTTCATTAAGTCCAGGGTCAACGCAGCCGTCTACCAGGAGATTTTGGAGCACTTCATGCCTCCTTCTACAGACGAGCTTTATGGGGATGCACCAAAGCCTGGTTCAATGACCGTGGGATTACTGTGCTTGATTGGCCAGCAAACTCGCCGGACCTGAACCCCATAGAGAATCTATGGGGCATTGCCAAGAGAAAGATGAGAGACATGAGACCAAACAATGCAGAAGAGCTGAAGGCCGCTATTGAAGCATCCTGGTCTTCCATAACACCTCAGCAGTGCCACAGGCTGATAGCTTCCATGCCACGCCGCATTGAGGCAGTAATTGCTGCAAAAGGGACCCAAACCAAGTACTGTATCTATATGCATGCTTATACTCTTCAGAGGTCCGATATTGTTCTATGTACACGCCTTGTTTTATTGATTGCATGTAATATTCTAATTTACTGAGATTGTGGCTTTGGGGTTTTCATGAGCTGTAAGCCATAATCATCGCACTTATGACAAATCACGGCTTGAACTATCTTGCTTTGCATGTAATGCGTCTATCTCATATATTAGTTTCCCCTTTTACGTTGCATTACTGAAATAAATGAACTTTTGCACGATATTCAAATTTTTCGAGTGTTACCTGTATACAGGGGCTAACGGGACGGCTGGGCGCCCTAGAGAATCCTCCGATGTGAACACTCACTATGCACATCACCTCCAGGGGCTGCAACGTCGCAATGAAGCCACAACTACCCGGGACCTCATAATTCGCTTTTAACAACAGAAAGACAAAGCAGCAATACTGGCAGCAGTTAAAGACTGTGCCCCATACACGTTTAAATCGATGTCCTTCTCATTATTTAGCGGACCTCTCTGGTGGCACCTTAATCTAAACAACAAACGTATGGGATACAGCTGTGATTCTAAAGAGAACATAAACATAACATAGTGTTATACAGTTAAACAAAGAAATGTGCGCTGTAAATGGTTGTACTCACAAGATATGGACGTATAAAGCACTCAATGGGTGCCTCCCCTGATGTGAGTAAATGCTATAAAAACAGCAATGGCATTGGCCTTACGTGTTTCGTTCCACAATTGGAATTTCTTCAGAGACCATAAAATCAAAAACAGGTTACAAGTAATAATACAAATAACAGCCTAAACATCCCCACCCAAGAGTCCCTTTAAATAGGGCTAATCCCCAAGTCCATTGGTTGTGCTGAAGGTGTTCACCTTCTTCATGATTTCCATTGGCTCCCTTCTCCTGTCCGATCACCTGTAGATCTTCAAAATCTTCTCTGTATAATAACTGGTGTTCAGACGCCTGTTGGAGACCGGAACCGGAAGTGCATTCCACCAATCACTTCCGTGTTCCACCTAGTGGATACTGTGTACCAAAGAGATCCAAGTGACTGAATATTATACAGAGTGTATTAAGTGTAAATAGTGACCTCTAGTGGTCACCAGAAGTATAGTAGAGTAAAATACATTAGTAATAAAACAGAATTGTCTGGTAGTAATCTGTTGAAGAGAGAAGTGATTAGCAACACAAAAATGATTTACTAGCACAACACCAACCTTACAGATTAAAGTGCTTCATGTGATAAGTAAGTCTTATAGAAAGGGTTTATCTTTTTTATTTCTTCTTACTATAAAAGTGGAACACTGGGACGTTCTCAAGATTCCATACAGGGGCGGAGCCTGACTGCCGAGCAGGATAGACGTGCTACAAACCAGCTCCCGCAAAAACGACAACAATGGGGAAAAATACCCCAAACACAAAATCACCCACAAGTCAGAGGGCATGGGACAAGCTGGGGAAACCCGGGGGCATCAAAGGAACCCACAAACGAGACTCTCTCTGCCCGGGATCCCACGCAAAGCACATGGGGCCTACATGCGGCCGAGCCAGGGAGAGACGGCCACTCTTCTGGATGGTAAAACCGCACACACACCCCTCAGTGCACCAGCCTTCCTCCTCCCCCCCTCCCCCCCCGCACTCGACATCCACAATTACCAGCAGAGACAGCAGTACAAGCCTGACCCTGACAAGCAAGGCTGCAACCTCCTACAAGGCGCACCTAAAATGGCGGCCGGCAGCGGGATATGCGGGAAGGCCATGCGACCGACACAACCGCGCTGGAGAGACCCACTGCAGAGCTTAGAGGTGATACCGACCCACTTCTGGGATATCCACACACAGCAGCAACAACCAACTGGGGAAGGGACCTCGCAGCGCTCTGGACCCACATGCCAATCCCTCAGAGCCGGCGTCGGCTGACCAAGACGGCATGACCTAGAGACAGTCTGTGCCCCTGCAGCAGAGACTCTGCACGATCCCACCGCACAGTATGTCTCACACTGAGCTCAGAACTGGCCCTAACATCTCACAGCAGAGACTGTAAGATGCATATAGCAGCAGTGGAGCAAGCAACATAATATAATAACCACAGGCAATTAGCTTGTTAACCAAAGATCATTTAGCCGCTGTTTATTCTTTGCACCTGTGTTCTCATGCATGTCAGTATCTACCTTTAAAAATGTGCAGATTCCACTAACTGCTTTTGAATGTTACCATTGTTTTTATGCAGGGCACCTTTATGCTCAGAGTGAATAGAAACAGGGTCACACAATGAAGGCTAACTCTAGCAATGTTAACTGCTGTATGTTGTGTCTAAGCTTAAATACACACAGTTTAACTTTTTAATGTAGTTTTACATCAAGTTACTGCTAACTGCAACCGTGCTTATACAATATGACTACGAATTTAGCCTGAATCCACTCTCTAAGCACTTGACTACTCCAATCTCTAGAACCACTGTATGCTTACTGTCTCAAGCTTGAAACCCCATCGTGACCCACCGCAACAGTCATACAAAGCTAGCCTCTATATAGCATGTTTAAAACCTTTAACCCCTTAAGGACACATGACATGTGTGACATGTCATGATTCCCTTTTATTCCAGAAGTTTGGTCCTTAAGGGGTTAAAGTGTCCCCAGTCTGTTATTTTTCTCATTACAAAAGACGACGCAACTGTTTAACCAAACTTGTTAAAAATTTTAAAAATGTGCAGTCTCTCATGCCACTGTTATACCAATGCATATTTTCCAATACGCTGTTGTGGCGTCTGTTGATTCCTTGTACCTACCTGCACAGCAAAAATAAAGAATTAAAAAAAAAAAAAAAGATTCCATACAGAGCATAGAACCTTGCGGCACCAAAGGACTACTACACAGATGGGACCCGGAGAGGGTGACAGCCTTTGTACCACGACAGCCCAGACAGGGCATTCAGCAGCCACCACCTGAAGTCCCCATAGTGCCTTATAGCAGTGGTTTATTGCTGTCTTCTTTTTTCACACTTATATTTTGTTGTTTACCACCTCTCATTTATTATCTCTTTGATTTAAACATTACAACATTTTAGACTGACCGCAGTCCCAAAACACATATCGAATGGTTTATAACCCGTACCAACATCCCTCTTCCCTCGTCCCCACGCCCCCCTCCGCCGCCTGCTCTATGCCTTGGCCGAACGAATAGCTATATAGTTATAATAGACAGAGTAGTTAGATAAGAGTAGTTATATAATTGGTTAACGGAAACATTAGTGATGATAAACCTAGTCTTGCTTAATGATTTACATTATAGTTCTACAACTCCAATATAATGCTTAACTCATGTTTAACTTACTAAAAAAGCGATGTTTTAATGTACGTCTGACTCAGTATATTAACCTTATTTTCCACATAGACATAAGTAACTCCTCCTTATTTGGAAAAAAAAGTGTGCTGTTTCATACATAAAGAGACGACAGATGGGAATAAAAGTGTCAAGGGTCTAAGGAAGTACCACTAAACCAGCGAAGCGCGCGTTGGAGCTCCTAATATACCTGGTGATCACATGTACCCACGTCGACCTACTCATTCACAAGTTTTTTATAGCATAATATTGTAGGGAACACAGCCTCTCAGGTACTTGATTATAGTGATCTAGGTATTCTTTTGATTTTTACCATATTTAGCTAATGAGTGACAGTTAGTGCCTTTACAGACAAAAGCTTAGGTGCTCTCGAGACACAGTTAGATCTTTGTGTGGGATATTGTTATCCCTATCTCTCCAGCCAGTTGATACATTAGACTATTTCGATTTTCAGTTTTAGTGGTTTTGAATGTTACACTGACTACAGCTGTTTGTATACTGCTCTTGAATCTCTGCATGACAAAACTAGAGATATAGTTACTTTTCCTTGTATATACTTTATTTAGCACTACATATTATCTAGGACCTTCCAGCACTTATCTTTTTGACATTCACGATTGCTGTGCTTTTTCATTTATTATGTCCTATTTTTTTCAATTTTCACTTTCTCTTTGATGTATATACTTAATTTCCCACCTGTTCAACCCATTTAACATGTTCTCCCCCGTCCTCCCCCAATTTTCACTTTCTCTTTGTTGTATATACTTCATTTCTCACCTGTTCACCCCATTTAACATTTTAATGATTTATTAAACGTTAAGTTTTAATTTCATTGACCAAGGTCCAGGCATCCAATCATCTATTTTTCCTGTTTCATACATATACATTGTTTGCAAGCTGTGACACTATGGTTGACCATGTATTTTCTGATATGTCATTATTGTACCTTCTCAGTCCATCAAAAATAAAGAATTGTAAAAAAAAATCCATAATAGCTGTGCAAAAATCAATCGAGACCCGAGAGTGCATCCTACTTTTTCATTTCTGTGTGTATATATATATATATACACACAAGTGGTGTATCCTGGTTTTGTGCTGCCCAAGGAAGGACAAAACTCAAGCACCCCCGCGCCACCCCCACCCAACCCTTCCTCCCTGCCCCGCCTTCTAAATACACACACACACACACACACACATTCACTGACAGATACGCATATACTAGCTAACAGACACACACACACACACACACACTGACAGACACACACACAGTCAGACACACACACACACACTCACTTTTTTTATTTTTTTATTTTACCCCCAGCCTCCTTACCTTTGGGAATGCTGGAGGGGGGTTCTCCCTCTCCCTGGAGTCTAGGGGGGCTGCTGGGCTGTCGGGTGGGCGGCGCTGGCGAGGGAGCACTTTCCCCTGAGCTCTCTGCTCAGCTCCCTCGCGCTCCCTATGATGTCATATTCCGGCTCCCGGGAACACTTTTCGGGCCGTGCGAGGGAGCTGAGCAGAGAGCTCAGGGGAAAGTGCTCCCTCGCCAGCGCCGCCCGAACGACCGCCTGGCTTGTCAGTTATCTGCAAGGCAAACAAGACATTTGCCCTGGGCATTTGGGGGCGGCTTTTTTTGCCGCCACCTGGAAAATGCCGTCCAAGGCAGATGCCTTGTTTGCCTCACGGCTAAAACGTCCCTGTTTATATATATATATATATATATATATAATACACAAGATCCAGCGCACTCACCTATCCACTAAACAGCAACTTCAAAGTTGAAAGATTTTATTTGTTTGTTTTTTTTAAAAACACCTAATCTAGGCAAAAATAATGGGGGTTTAGTTACATTATATGATCATACATTGCATAAGCCTGCCACAGCGTCAATGTACCCCATCTTTGGCAGGTCCTACACTAACAGCCTAATGTCTGCTCTTATGAGATTAACCTACTTGGGAAAAAAATTCCATCTGGGGCTCTCTGCGTACAAGGCTAAATAGGGCCCTGGGATGAGGCACCTGTGACAGGGAGGGGTGCAAAACCAAGGAGTTGGCTAGACTCCCAAATATATATAAAACAAGAGGGGGTTGGCTGCACTCACCTTAACATGCATAAATGGGGGGTGCTGCTGGGGGCCAAATAATACAATACACAAGATCCAGCGCACTCACCTATCCACTAAACAGCAACTTCAAATGTTGAAAGATTTTATTTGTTTTTTTTAAAAACACCTAATCTAGGCAAAAATAATGGGGGTTTAGTTACATTATATGATCATACATTGCATAAGCCTGCCACAACGTCAATGTACCCCATCTTTGGCAGGTCCTACACTAACAGCCTAATGTCTGCTCTTATGAGATTAACCTACTTGGGGAAAAAATTCCATCTGGGGCTCTCTGCAGTACAAGGCTAAATAGGGCCCTGGGATGAGGCACCTGTGACAGGGAGAGGTGCAAAACCAAGGAGTTGGCTAGACTCCCAAATATATATAAAACAAGAGGGGGTTGGCTGCACTCACCTTAACATGCATAAATGGGGGTGCTGCTGGGGGCCAAATAATACAATACACAAGATCCAGCGCACTCACCTATCCACTAAACAGCAACTTCAATGTTGAAAGATTTTATTTGTTTGTTTTTTAAAACACCTAATCTAGGCAAAAATAATGGGGGTTTAGTTACATTATATGATCATACATTGCATAAGCCTGCCACAACGTCAATGTACCCCATCTTTGGCAGGTCCTACACTAACAGCCTAATGTCTGCTCTTATGAGATTAACCTACTTGGGGGAAAAAAATTCCATCTGGGGCTCTCTGCAGTACAAGTCTAAATAGGGCCCTGGGATGAGGCACCTGTGACAGGGAGGAGTGCAAAACCAAGGAGTTGGCTAGACTCCCAAATATATATAAAACAAGAGGGGTTACTGCACTCACCCTAACATGCATAAATGTAAGCTAGTTGGGGGCCAAATAATACAATACACAAGATCCAGCTGCGACTCACCCCATCCACTAAAACAGCAACTTCAAAGTTGAGATTTTATTTGTTTTTTTAAAAACACCTAATCTAGGCAAAAATAATGGGGGTTTAGTTACATTATATGATCATACATTGCATAAGCCTGCTACAACGTCAATGTACCCCATCTTTGGCAGGTCCTACACTAACAGCCTAATGTCTGCTCTTATGAGATTAACCTACTTGGGAAAAAAATTCCATCTGGGGCTCTCTGCAGTACAAGGCCAAATAGGGCCCTGGGATGAGGCACCTGTGACAGGGAGGGGTGCAAAACCAAGGAGTTGGCTAGACTCCCAAATATATAAAACAAGAGGGGGTTGGCTGCACTCACCTTAACATGCATAAATGGGGGTGCTGCTGGGGGCCAAATAATACAATACACAAGATCCAGCGCACTCACCTATCCACTAAACAACAACTTCAAAGTTGAAAGATTTTATTTGTTTTTTTTAAAAACACCTAATCTAGGCAAAAATAATGGGGGTTTAGTTACATTACATGATCATACATTGCATAAGCCTGCCACAACGTCAATGTACCCCATCTTTGGCAGGTCCTACACTAACAGCCTAATGTCTGCTCTTATGAGATTAACCTACTTGGGGAAAAAAATTCCATCTGGGGCTCTCTGCAGTACAAGGCCAAATAGGGCCCTGGGATGAGGTACCTGTGACAGGGAGGGGTGCAAAACCAAGGAGTTGGCTAGACTCCCAAATATATATAAAACAAGAGGGGGTTGGCTGCACTCACCTTAACATGCATAAATGGGGGTGCTGCTGGGGGCCAAATAATACAATACACAAGATCCAGCGCACTCACCTATCCACTAAACAGCAACTTCAAAGTTGAAAGATTTTATTTGTTTGTTTTTTAAAAACACCTAATCTAGGCAAAAATAATGGGGGTTTAGTTACATTATATGATCATACATTGCATAAGCCTGCCACAACGTCAATGTACCCCATCTTTGGCAGGTCCTACACTAACAGCCTAATGTCTGCTCTTATGAGATTAACCTACTTGGGGGAAAAAATATATATATATAAGTGATATGCCTGGAGTTGTGGGAGTAGTTTGTTCGGCTTTTATCTACCCCCTCCCCGCCATCGTAGCTGACTCCAGCCATGCTGTCTGTGTTTGGACCCATATCCTCTTCAACCTATCGTTCCTGTATTTTTTTCTTGTAATTGTCCTATTTACAGTTACATCCCCCCTCTCATAATATTGTAAAGCGCTACGGAATCTGTTGGCGCTATATAAATGGAAATAATTATAATAATAATGCATTTTATAATAACTTAATACATAGAAAGCCAATTTACAAGTAATAGAAAGATCTAAGCACGGGTTTGTGATAATAATATTCCATATTTATTAAGGATTATTGATTGATCACTAATGAGCAAATTAAACTATTATAGATAGTTAAGATGGCTGGGTTGCACTGAGAAAAACAAGATGACACAGCATAGAATGTTCTATAACACGTCTGACCAATATCCAAAGTGGCAGACATGCTTGAAGGTAGGACTCCAGAAATGTTTAGATAGACTGAGTACAGGGACATAGATTCAGAGAAAAGGTACCGTACATGTTTGGCAAGTGCCTTGGGTGATCATGACTGGCCTGATCAACCATAAAGATTACTTAATGCGCATGACATATACATGGTGGGCTGTATTGAAAGAAACTTGGTGGAAAAGTACAGACTATCCATCTCATTGGTAAAAAGGTATAAAAGATGGTGAAACTTGGCACTCACTTGGAGAACTACCCACCTGCAATGTGGACGCGTGTTGTTGGTCTTTGCTGTTCCCAGTAGAGAGAGTCCTTCCAAGTCTGACTGCCTGAGTTCTCCCAGTCCTAAAGCGGAGTGACATCCAAGCTTCTCTGATGGTGATGTATACTTAAGCTGATATATCTAGATAATTAAGCTGTTCCCTTAAGCTGAATGTGCACTATAGATTGAATAGTGTTACTTATTAATTAAGACTCTGTTAGTCAATAAATATTTTCATTGAATATTTACAAGTACTTGGTGTCAGTGTCTTTCTTTTTCTCCAATACTCAGTTCACTCATCCAGAATAGGGTTTTGGTGCCCACCAATATCTTTGAAGACCTTAGGGTAATTGATTATTGCTTTTTGATATTGGTGCTTCATGAATTTAATGATTAGGCACAACAGGTTGAATATAAAGCTAAATAACTACTACATTCCTACAGTGGGGAAAGTTACTTTCATCATCCATCCTCAGAGAAATTAAAGGATACAGTTGCCATTGAGCAGTGTTACAAAATATGAATACTGTAATACATACTATTGCTACAAAGTATGCACAGACATACTGATAATTAGATTATTCAATTCATATTTAGGAGGACATTAAGTAGCACTATTATATTGTTGATTGCTACTGTGGAGTCAGTTTAAGTAGTGATTTTCATTCACTCAGGAATGGTACAGCTCAAACGCTATGTTATACATCGTTCTTTATCCCTCACCACACATGTAAAGGTAGTATGCTGGAAGCTGTGTGAGGGGTTTGGAGAAGGTGGCCCTCTTTATTTAGGCTTACCTGTTCGTTGTTTTTGGCACACCACAGCTGACTTGCTCTTACTGGTACAGCTCAAACTTTGTTATAAATTCCCCTTTGTCCCACAACCACATATTGTTTTTTAATATTTTCAAAATTTCAAACGTTTATCCTAAATTATTAAATAATTTGAAAAGCTCATCTTCAAAAATATTAAATCAAGGCTATAATTAGTATCATTTGGCAGTGATAAGACGACTTTTTAATTTAGATACACTGATAGGGTTATTCACTACAGTCAAAACTCAAAGCAAATTAAAATTGAATTTGAAATTTAAGGTCAGAGTAACTGAACTGAGAACATAGCTGTCTTAGTACGCAATGCCCACAGTATCCCTTACATAAAGCTTACCCTGACTTAAACCATATACCTACCCTTAACCTTAACACTACATTATCCCTACATTAACCTGGAAACAACCCTACCCCAACATTATGCCTTAACTTACCATTACATTGACCCTGTATAATCCCTAATCCTACCCTAACACTAACCCTACCCTTGTTTACTTTTTTCTGGGGGTAAGAAATTTGACAATGGCATATCCACCCTCCCCCTTTCAATAAGAGCCTTAATCCACCACACATGAGTTTTACCTGTGGGGGACACTAGGACCCCCTGTTTAATAATAAGTACCCCCCAACCAAATGACCAGACATAGGATAGGAGGACATAGGAGGATAATTATGATACACCCATTTTTTTAAATTAGTAGCTCCACTTGCCACTGGTGGAGGCAGTAGGTGGACAGTAAACTTCCCACCCCCTATTATTTAATTATGATAAAGTCCACCACATAATGGGATTGCCCCTTTTTAGCAAATGGGCTGCAGTGGTCTATATCAGTGGTTCCCAGTCCAGTACTCAAGTACCCCCTACCAGTCCAGGATTTAGGAACTACCCAGTGCTTTTTAGAAAGAAATGACAGGGTAATCCCTATCTACTGGACTGGTAGGGGGTATTTGAGAACTGGGCTCGGAACCCCAGGTCTATATCTTCCCTTACACTAATATGGGAGTCATAATGACTCCTATAGGCTTTCTTTCTTTCTCTTTTTTTATTTTTTTTACACTTTTTAGATTCTGGCAGTGGACTAAAGGTCAGCAGCCACATTAAAATGAAAAAAAAGTGTAAAAAATGATTATTAGTTATTTGCCTGCTTGCTGCTGGCACTTCCAGTGAACCAGAGATTGAAGGTCAGCAGAAAGTTGACGAGTAAACTAATATTTTACCCAATTTAACTGAAACCAAATATCTATATGGCAGAATATCAAATTAACTTCTTTTTTTTTTTATTCTGAAAAGTACCTAAAATGATTTATGTGCACATCTATGTTCGTTGTTTTCCATGTTTCCCTACCAAGAGAATTTGAGAATTGTGATAAAGGAAGAAGTGAACATCACTAGAATGACTTCCCTTCCACACTCTGAGCTGTTATAAACTCTATGAGGTTTATGTAGCTGCTGTGCTCAGATCTGTCGCATTGTGCTCTCTGTAGTCCACATAGATACATGGTAGAATCCTCTATCTTGAAATCACTGATGGTCAGATTTGTAGACTCTGCATCCACCTGAGAATTGAATCTCTCCTTAGCAAAAGGAGCAGTATTAACAAATGTTCCCTGGTTAGCTTTATGCAGAATGTAATCTGGAGCTTTGTTAGGATAATGACGGTACCAATACAAATAATAAGTCGTTGTATAGCTGGTGGTGTATGAGCAGGAGAGAGTGACACTCGTTCCTTCTTCCACAGACAACTCAGAAAGCTTTGACTCAATGGAATCTTCTCTAGCAGCTCCTGTAACAAAGGGATATAGAGAGTCACATTAATAAAGCAAGATG